TGGGGGATGTTAGAGTAGCAAAAAAACCATAAAAAAATAAAAGAAGAAAGAGTACATGAAGTTATCAGAAAAAAATGATGGGGAGATATGGGAGGATTTCGAGGGGAGGGAGTGGGCATGGATTTGATCAAAACACCTTATATGCAAGTATGAATTCTCAATAAATTATTTATTTTTTTTAAAAAAAGAAAGAAACAGGAGGGAGGATGGAGACATGGGCTCAGGGGTTAAGAGCACATACTGGGCTTTCAGAGGACCTGAGTTCAATCCCCAGTGACTACAGAGATATGGGAGGATTTCGAGGGGAGGGAGTGGGCATGGATTTGATCAAAACACCTTATATGCAAGTATGAATTCTCAATAAATTATTTATTTTTTTTAAAAAAAGAAAGAAACAGGAGGGAGGATGGAGACATGGGCTCAGGGGTTAAGAGCACATACTGGGCTTTCAGAGGACCTGAGTTCAATCCCCAGTGACTACATCAGGTGACTCACAACCACCTGGAACTCCAGCTCATGGGAGATCTAACACCTCTGGTTTCCAAGGACACCTGCATATACGTGCAAACACCCCCTACCACATATGCATATGCACATGCGCATAATTAAAAATATAAATAACTACACAAACAAACAAATAAATAATAGAAACGTAAGGGAGGCTGGAGAGCTGACTCGCAGTTAAGAGCACTGGCTGATCTTGCAGAGGGCCCAGGTTTGGTTCCCAGCACCCACATGGTGGCTAACAAACATCTGTAATTCCAGTTCCAGGGGATTCAATACCCTCTTCTGGCCTCTGTGGGCACCAGGCACACAAGTGGTGCACTTATGGACATGCAGGTAAAACTCTCATACACATAAAATAAATATGCTGGACGTGGCTGCGCATATCTTTTTTTTTTTTGGTCTTTTTGAGACAGGGTCTCCCTGTGGCCCCAGCTGTCCTGGAACTTGCTATATAAACCAGGCTGGCCGCGGACTCACAGAGATCCCCCTGCCTCTGCCTCCCAAGTGCTGGGATTAAAGGCGTGGCAAAACAAAAAATAAATAAGTCTTTTAAAAAACTTAAATGGGGGCTGGAGAGATGCCTCAGCAATTAAGAACACTGATTGTTCTTGTAGAAGACCCAGGTTCGAATCCCAGCACCCACATGGCAGCTAACAACTGTCCATAACTTCAGTCCCAGGGGATCCTACAGCCTCTTCTGACCTCCACGGGCATGGCACGACATGGGTGCACTTACCTACATGCAGGCAATCCACGCATACACATAAAATAAAAATATTAAAATAAAAAAAAACTTACATGTATCAGCTTTACAGGGGTTCCCCTGGTGCCCAGTGCTGTAGGGGGCCCCTTTATTTCACCAAGGGGCCATCACGAGGCCCAGACTACAATATCTGGGAAGGAGTTTGTGTGCCCCAAATATTCTGCCTTCACACCATCCAGCTGACTCTTATCTTTCAGCCCCCCGAGAAGTGCCCCCCTCCATGATGACACCCCATCCCCTCACCATGGTGGCCCCAGTACAGGGTTCTTTTAGTGCTCAGCTTCCCAGTCTCCCAGATGCTGGCTTCCTGTGCACATCGTGGAAGTGGATTCAGCTGCACATCTGTGCGCTTAACCTTTCTAACTGCAAAATGGACAGAGCCGGCCTCCCTTGGTCTCCATGCAACTCATGACTCCAGACATTCTTCGTGCTTGTTCTCTGATTACTTTCCTATATACATACATTCTCCCGTGTTCTGTCAGTATGACCACTGTGCTGCCAGAAGCTGAAGACACATACAGCAAGCACTTACTAAGTGCTGTGTGAAGACTGGAGGATGCCTGCTGTCCCAGCATGTGAAGATGCCATCTGGGGGATGACCCATCTCTGGGCAGATGGGGCTAGGGGCCTGAACTGGGGCCTCACCTTCTTCTGCATCTTCTCCAGAAGCTTGCTCTTGGCCCTCACTTCCTCCTGGATGGAGTCGTAGACATTGAGCAGCACCCAGTCCCCGCTGTCCTCATCGGAGTTCTGCAGCGCTGCCACCAGCTGCTTTTTGCGCTCGTCGGCATACCGCTTGCGTCGTTTGTGCTTCTCCTTCAGATCCTTGTTCTTCGCCTGCTCGCCCCCCACCACCTGCTGCTCCAGCAGCTGCAAGCTGCCAGGATGGAAGAGAAAACCAATATGGCGGTAACTGCTGGCTAGGGAGTACCAGCCATCCAGCAGACTCCACACAACCCACTTCACAGAGCAGTAAACCAAGGCACAGAGGCTAAAGCTCCCCAGTGACTGGCAAGGCCCCATAGGTCTCAGCTCTTTTCAGAATTACAGAAGGATCTGGGGTAGAGGTAATAGAGGAAAGGAGGCCTAGTGGGAGCTAAGCCCAGGCCCAGGAAGGGCATGAGCTCTGTATCCCAAATAGCCAGTGTCTGACCATCCATCAGGGTGAAGAATGCCCCAGGGTACACCTGGGCCCCATGATCCCTAACTCACTTCAGTTTGAACTCATTTCCCATACCCACCATGGTAGACACTGTACTCTTTATCAGGAATGCCACCCTGGGGTGTTTGGCTGGTACACCTTGTTGGGAGATGGGGAACTACTCTGTGTTTTCCTTGACCTTCACTCCAGACTCCACTGTGACAACAGCCATGTCTGCCGTTCACGTGCAGCGTTTGGGCTACCACCCCTGCAGGCACTGTGCACGCCACCGTGTACCCCACTATATTTCAGCTACAACTGTGATGTTTGCAGATGAGAAACCAAGGCCCATGGAGGTTGGAGGTCTGCCCAAGGTGGCAGAAGAGGCAGAATGGGAGCCGGCCATAGGGCTCCAGCAACAGCCCTCTGGGTCTTGGCTCTGCTTTCCCCTGAACCATCAGCCCTGGAAGGCCAAGGTAACCTCCCATCTAACCCTGCATCCTAGCACCTAGCACACAGCCCTGCTCAGCCCCTGTCTGTGCCAGTGGGGTACCCACTACCGACATCATCGCCATCCACAGAAGGAAAAAGTGAGACTCAAAAACGTGAGGAAAAGTGAGGCGTGGTGGCGCACACCTTTAATCCCAGCACTCGGGAGGCAGAGGCAGGTGGATCTCTGTGAGTTCAAGGCCAGCCTGATCTACATAGTGAGTTCCAGGACAGCTGGGGCTGCA